AGTAGAATCCAGTGACCCTCCACCACAGTGTGCCAGGATACTGTGTCTGATCTAAGTTTCTGACTCTGCAATATCCAGGTACCTGTTCTTCTGAATTATCTTACACATTCTGTTCTCCGTTAGTACTTTAGGCTTTTCCCCAAAGTCAAAAATTTCAGGGGCACTGGCTCAATGTTCCAGCTTATCAGCTGTCACGGGCCTTAAAAATTCAGGAAGGAGGGTCTGTGTGCTCAGGGAATTTCATCTAGCATTACTTATAAGTTTGGAAATTTGGAACCAAGGAGTATATCCAAAATAGGAGATTGTCTAAATAAATTAAGATGCATCGATGTGCTGAACTATTATGCAGAAATATAAAATGATGCCCAGAAAATGTGACCAAAAGTTCATCATTGGACTGTGGTGGAGGGTGGACAGGTGTGCACTGGCCAATTGTTCTAACTTTACTATATGCAGGAAAATTCTCATGAGAAAAGGTTTGGGGAAGTCTTAAAAAACGATATCATGGTTCATGCCACCCAGGGACTCAAAAAAAAAAAACACATAAAATAAGACCAACATACATTATGATTACAACCACGTTGAAACACACATGAGAAGAAAGAATAACACTTCAATTTGTTGTCATGCATCAAGTACATAAAGTGAGTCACAACTGTAAAACATTTACACTAATTCTGAAAGGGGTTACTGTTAATTTCCTTTCACTAGGACCATCTCCTTGTTCTCTGTGTCACTTTTCAGCTGTTGTGCTGCCCAAAGTCGAGCCCAGCTCCTTCAGTGAGTGCCAGATATGGAGGGAAGTTCAGACCGGTTTCTTGGGGCTGGACTTCTGTGTACGTCTCTGTTTGCTGGAGGTGGACGGAGCTTTCGTTGTTCCTCTTGTTAGCACAGTACGCGAATAGGACTTTTGATTTTTAACCTCATTTTTCTCTGAACCCCAAATCCTTTTCTGGTTACCTATCATTTTCCTTTTTTATCCTTCTGGAGTTTCCCAGTCAAATGTAGTTCTATTTTATATTTATACATAAGAGTTAAGACTCTTTTATAATATTAAACTCATTCTTCAAAGAATGTAACCCCTCCCCACCACCACTGTAATATCCCCATGCAGATCTTATTATGTCATCAAAATGATGTTGCTCCTACTTGAGGCATTGTCCCTTGATCCTAGAACAATGAGGAGCCCAGATACTTGGTCATGGGCAATAAAAAAGCATTCCAATAGGAGACTTCACCCAGTACCCAATCTTGCTCCCCTTCTGGCAAACTTCATAGGCATAGCTGTTCACTGCCTTGTTTTAATGAGATGATGTTGCACAAAATATTGCATGTAAAACACTTAGTGCCTGGTGCACACATGTATTTGTGCCAACTGTGGGCAGATAAAACTGGCATATTTCCTTTCTTCTAAGTTGCTGGCACTGGGGTCACTGTAAGACAACATTGGTGGGAATTTTAGGGAATAGTCTCCTATTGAAAGGCAGGATTGATGACCTCCCATTCTCCTGTAGTCATATTTCAAAGAGCAGGTCCAAGCTCCTTACTGGAGGATCCCATGAGGTCACTGCAAGGGACAGCTAAGGAGGCAGAGAGAATGGCCTAGGTAAATTCAACAATGTCACACAATGGTTGCTGATGAAAAATTGTTCATGCTACACCAAAAAGAAACCTGATAAATCTTCCAGCTAACGTTAATATCCTCAGTTCATTCCTCAACCTGCTAAAGAGCATCTATGAAAAATCCACAGGTAACACCATACTTAATGGTGCAAGACTAAATGCTTTGCCCCTGAGATCAGGAATAAGACAAGGATATTTTATAGATTTCCCTATTCTGGACTTTTGTATGAATGGAATCATATAAAATGTCATCTTTTGCAACTGGCTTCTTTCACTTAGTGTGATGTTTTTAAGGTTCATCCATGTTGTAGCATGTATCATTATTTTATTCCTTTTTATGGCCAAATAATATTCCATTGTATGGATATATCACATTTGCTTATCGAATAATCATTTGATGGACATATGGGTTGTTTCCTCTATTTGGCTATTATGAATAAAGATGAAATTCATATTTGCCTACAAGTGTTTGTGTGGACATACGTTTTCATTTCTTTTGGGTATATGCCTAGAAGTGGAATTACTGGGTTATTGTTAAGTCTACATTTAATTATTATTATTATTATTTTTTTATAATTTTGTTTATTTATTTATTTTTCCCCAAAGCCCCAGTAGATAGTTGTATGTCGTAGTTGCACATCCTTCTAGTTGCTGTATGTGGGACGCGGCCTCAACATGGCCGGAGAAGCACTGCGTCAGTGCACGCCCGGGATCCGAACCCAGGCCGCCAGCAGCGGAGCGCGTGCACCCAACCGCCAAGCCATGGGGCCGGCTCTACATTTGATTTTTTGAGGAACTGCTGGACTGTTTTCCAAAGTGTCTGCACCATTTTATATTCCTATAATGTATGAGGGTCCCAGTTCATCCATATCCTCTAGAACACTTGTTCATTTCTGTTTTGTTTCATTCTGTTTTTTGGCTAGCCTAGTGAGTGTGAAGTGGAACATTATTGTGGGTTTGATTTGCATTGCCTTAATAACTAATGACCTCGAGCATCTTTTCATGTGCTTGTTGGCCATTTGTATATACCTTCTTTAGAGAAATTTTTGTACAAGTCCTTTGCCAATTTTTAAATTGAGGTTTTGACTTTTTGCTGTTCAGTTGTAAAAGTTGTTTATATATTCTGGATGTTAGAATGATATTTTTGCCAAAGATACCAAGACAATTCAGTGGAGAATGGATAATCTTTTAAACAAATGGTCCTAGGAGAACTGGGTAGTTACATGCAAAAGGATGAAATTGGACCCTTACCTCACATGATATACAAAAATTAACTCAAAATGGATCAAAGACCTAAATGTAAGTGCTAAAAGTATAAAACTCTTAGAAGAAAACATAGGGGTCAATTTTCATGACCTTGGATTTGGCTATGGTTTCTTAGATATGATGCCAAAAGCAGAACTAACAAAAGAAAAAATAGAGAAATTATGCTTCATCAACATTTTTTAAAGTTTTGAATCACTGGACACTCTCACAAGAATGAAAAGGCAACTCACAGAATGAGAGAAAACATTTGCAAATCATACATATGGCAAGATCTAGTGTCCAGACTATAAAGAACTCTTATATCTTAACAAAAAGACAAATAATCCAATTTTTTAAAAATGGTCAAAGGACTTGAATAGATATTTCTCCAAAGAGGATAAATAAAGGGCAAATAAGCACATGAAAAGATGCTCAATTAATCATTAGGGAAATGCAAATCAAAACCACAATGAGATACCTTGGGACTTGGAGTTTACTAAGGATCCATATCTACAGATTTGGGATGTATCCACTGCTACTCCCTACTTCCATCCCCTAGCTACCATATCCAAATATTCCTAAATGCTAAGGACTTTTCATTTCTTACCTTAATACATCCTCACAATGATAAATAGGTACTATTATTGTCCTCGCTTTATAAATGACAAAAATGAGGTTAAACCACTTGCCAAGGGACATAGAGTTAGTCAGTTACAGAGCTGACTAGGGATAGAAATTCAGGACTTTCTGACCCAAAGTCTGGGTACTGAACACTACACTACACTGATTATCAGTTCCAGTTCAGCCTCCAGATCCTTTAAAACAATATTTAAACTTCGTTCTAGCTAGAAACTTTGTTCAAAAGATCAGTTTCAAGTCTTTGATTCTGATGGATGCTGGAGATCCTTGTCCAATATTTGGTTAGGCAGGTATGACTCCACTGCAAAGACCTGGTTTTATAGACTGAATTGTGTCCCCCTGACATACAAATTCATATTGAAGCCAGTGATATAATAGAAAATATACATATATTTGGTCTCTGTCCCTGTTCCTGGCACAAAGCTCCTAAAACCCTTGTAATTTCCTAAGTGATAAGAACACTAGGAGCATCTCATCTTCTAATATTTAGCTTTTGATCCTGTCCCTGCCACAGGACTCCTAAAACCCTTGTAAATTTTTTTTTTTGTGAGGAAGATCAGCCCTGAGCTAACATCCGTGCTAATCGTCCTCTTTTTGCTGAGGAAGACCGGCTCTGAGCTAACATCTGTTGCCAATCCTCCTCCTTTTTTCCCCCAAAGCCCCAGTAGATAGTTGTATGTCATAGTTGCACATGCTTCTAGTTGCTGTATGTGGGACACGGCCTCAGCACTGCCGGAGAAGCGGTGTGTCGGTGTGTGCCCAGGATCCGAACCCTGGCCGCCAGTAGCGGAGCACGCACACTTAACCGCTAAGCCACGGGGCCGGCCCACTCTTGTAAATTTTTAAGTGATGAGAGCACTAGGAGCATCTTTTGTTCTAATGAAGTGACTCTGGGTGGGCTCCTGTATGGCTCCTGGTCACCAGAAAGGCCAAGTCATGATTAGGAGCTTGGAATTTTCAGCTCCATCCCCCACTTCTCCAGAGAGGGGAAAAGGGCTGAACATGGCACTAATAATTGATCATGCTACATGAGGAAGCTTCCATAAAATCCCAATAGTGTGGGGTTGAGAGAGATTCCAGGTTGGTGAACATGTCCGTGTTGGGAGGATGACATACCCCAACTCCACAGGGACAGAAGTTCCTATGTTTGGGACCCTCCCAGATCTCACCCTATGTATCTCTTCATCTGGTTGCTCATCTGTATCCTGTTCATCTGTATTCATTGTCATATCCTTTAATAAACTGGTCAATGTAACTAAGTGTTTCCCTGAGTTCTGTGAGCTGCTCTAGCAAATTAATTGAACCTGAGGAGGGGGTCATGGGACCCTCCGATCTATAGCCGTTTGGTCAGAAGCACAGGTGACAACCTGGACTTCCGATTGGTGTCTGAAGTGTGTGTGTGTGTGTGTGTGTGTGTGTGTGTGTGTGTGTGTGTGTGTGTGTGTGTGAGGGGGGCAATCTTGTGGGATTGAGCCCTTAATCTATGGGATCTGACACTATCTCCAGGTAGATAGTATCAGAATTGAATTAAATTGTACGACACCCTGCTGGTATCACAGAGAATTGCTTGGTGTGGGGAAAAACCTCCACACATTTGGTGACCAGAAGTGAAGTGTTTTATGTGAATAGTAAAGGAGACTCACAGGGAAGAAAACTCATAGGGAAGAATCTATGTAGGGTTTTTCCCTACATAGGAAGGAAAAAAGTGATTTTTTCCTTTTTTAAAGCCCTAATCTCCAGTACCTCAGAATGTGACTGTATTTGCAAACAGGGTCTTTAAAGAGGCGAGTAAGGCCGGCCTCGTTGCTTAGCGGTTAAGTGTGCACACTCCGCTACTGGCGGCCCAGGTTCGGATGCCGGGCGCGCACCAATGCACCGCTTCTCCGGCCATGCTGAGGCCGCGTCCCACATACGCAACTAGCAGGATGTGCAACTATGACATACAACTATCTACTGGGGCTTTGGGGGGAAAAATCAGATTTAAAGAGTCGAGTAAATTAAAATGAAGCTGTTACGGTGGGCCCTAATCCAATCTGATTGGTGTCCTTATAAGAAAAGGAGATTAGGACATACAGAGAGACAACAGGGATGCGCTTGCAAAGAGGAAAGACCACATGAGGACACAGCGAGAAGGTGGCCATGTGCAAGCTGAGGAGAGAGGCCTCAGAAGAAACCAACCCTGCTGGCATCTTGATCTGGGACTCTTAGCCTCCAGAACTGTGAGAAAATCAATTTCTGTTGTTTTAAGTTACCCAGTCTGTGGTATTTTGTTATGGCAGCCCTGGCAAATGAACACACCGAATACACTGTGGGAGGTAAGACCTGTGATGCACATTTTCTCTCTAGCCTCAGTTAACATGCTGATTCTTTAGACAAAGGCTTCCAGATAACTGCATACTGTGATGTGGTTTGTGAATGAAAAATTATCTCTACTCCAGAAATTCATCACCAGTGTGTTGAATCTTGTAGAGGTAAGTTGTTTTCATCCTTTGTCTTGTTTCGTTCTCTTAAATTTTAGTTGGCAAAGAGTATCTATTAAAAGAGAGGCAATGTTTTAGGGAAAAGAAAGCAGAGCCCCAGTGGTGAGGTGGTAAGTGACTTTACACTCGCCCACCACCATCATCCAGCTGCTTCCTCCCCACTTCATAACGGAAGTTTGTATCTCTTAGGTGATTATATGAAAAGGTAGCAATAAAATGTAGTTTCGATACCTGCTGTAGTTCTGGCCGATAATCAAATCTATTTCGTTAAACAATTTAAAATAAAAAACTTCATGCTGACTTACTTTTTGTGTAACAGCACAGAACAGAAAACAGAAGTGATCATAAATATCAGACATTTTACAGAATAATAAAGCCAGATACAGCATCATATGAATAACAGATTCCTGTGGGTTAACTTGTGTTTGTACACAAAGGTCAGCTACATTCCCTATTGTTTAATCTGCTGTCATCTTAGATACAGAATGTTTTTCACTGGCTTTATAAATAAATTAATCTTCTTGGGATAAAATAAAATTAAAAATGAAGTGTTTCTCAACTTCCCTGCAACAGCAGGTCATTATGGTTGATGCCCACGAAATAGTCAATGCAGTGGGTTTTTTTCTACTTCTCATATTTAAAGCAAATTTATAAAAGACTTCTATTTCTTACTGTTGCCAGGATTATTTACAGTGTCCAGTTACCCACTCTCTAACATTTTCTCTCTCATAGATTTCCCATTAGGAAAAGAACTTTTTATTAGTGTGACTTCTCCCACATGCTTCTGAAGGAGAATATGCTCTCTGCTCTGGTGTGCAATGTGGCAGAATATTTACCTGTGCAGCAGGTTTCTTTCCTGCAGATCAGCACAGTCCCCTTTATCATGCGCCTCCTCTGAGACACAGGCCCACGGAGGGACAGGAGAGCCCAGCTCCCTGTGGTCTGCCTTCCCATCACTCCATTTCCTGGTCCTCAGCCTGAAAGGTCATGGGGTACTTCCACCCTAGACTAAAAGAATATGTCCCCACCAATCCTTCCCTTATTTGCCCTCTCTTTAGCAGGGAGGAGTGGACATGGCACAGCTCTTGTTTTGGGTTGGTCCTTGAATAGAGGACCATTCTTAAGTGTTCTTGACCTTGTGGAATGATTTCAGTTCTGACCCTACTGTGCCTTACACACCCAGACCTACCTAACCGCTACTAAAAGTTGCAGTGGGAAAATATTTAGGGACACGAAACCAAGGTTTTCTTTCCCAAAATCATTCTTGCTGCCCCTGACGCCTCCCCCATTGAAGCTGAGGAATCCCCTTCAACAGAAGAATGGCAGAAACCAGCATCCAATCAAGGCGTAGCTTCAGATTTCTGAAATAGGTTCTGGAGCCCATTGCATAGACCTTAGTTTTTTTAAAATATTTTTTGTTTTTTTGGGGTTTTTTTGGTGAGGAAGATTGGCCCTGAGCTAACGCCAGTTGCCCATCTTCCTCTTTTTGCTTGAGGAAGAGTGGCCCTGAGCTAACATCCGTGCCCACTTTCCTCTATTTTGTACATGGATTGCGGCCACAGCATGGCTTGATAAGCAGCGCATAGGTCCGTGCCTGGGATCCGAACCTGCAAACCCAGGCCACTGAAGTGGAGCACACTGAACTTAACTGCTACGCCACCAGGCCGGCCCTGTAGACCTTAGTTTTTAAAGTTAACACTTTCATTTGCAAAATCCAGGCTTTGTTGAAAGAAGTATATGCCGGGGCAGGGTGGGGGGTGCACAGTGTAGGTATGTACTGCCAGACAGGCTGTGCACTGCACAACTCCTGGGTGCGTCACATGTGAATGGATCCTCTTTAATTGCAGAGTGCACAACCTGCATAACTGTATGTAATGACCCTAGAGAGCAGCTTGGAAAGAAAGGAGAGAAATGTGAAAGGTTAGGAATCCAAGAGCAGGATGGCACCTGGCTCCACATTCTACCTGGAGCTCTGGGAAGAAGACATCCTCTCAGTGCCCTACACCAACAGGAGGAGGCAAGAGGAGGTCAGAAATGACAGCCTGGCATTTAGGGAAGAGAGACCCTGAGACTGCCTTTGGGTTTCCCAAGGCTTATTGATAGCATAAATGAGTTCCAGCTGCAGGCCTCAGAAAGCAACTCCATAGAAATGCTGAGGGGACTGGTAACAAGACAAGGCCTGGGACTTGGAAGCAGATGGCCCAGAGTGTGCAAATATCCTGATTGGAGCCATGACAGCAGCCACCAGCACCAGCAGCAGAGGCTGGTGTGTGCCAAAGGCTAGGAAGGACCAGTTACACCCATCCGCCAAAGATGCCAGAGGGACATGACAAACACCCCAAGACTAAGGGAGACAAGAGAGCAATGGGGTCAGGTCCGTCCTTGCTGCTATCATCTGCAGCTAGATAATTTCTTGAGGAGGAGGAAGGGGAAGAGGAGTGAGAAGCAGAAGAGGAGGGGAAGGAGGAGAAAAGCAAGGGGGAGAAACAGAGGAGGACGAATAGGAGGACCAAGAGGGATGAGGAGGAGAAAGAGGGAAAGGGGGCCAGGCAAGAAGGGGGCGGAGGGAGGACACATGAGAGGAAAGAGCAGCTCTGATAGGGATGTTGGATTTTGAATCCACACAATTGAAATGCAGAACAAAATAAGTAATTAAGTGCCCCAAAGAGATTAAGTTTTAAACCAGAAGAGACTGAGTCACCTTAAACTGGCAAGGTTTAATTATTTCCTCCATCAGTAGAAATGGAGGTTCATGAGCAAGTTGACATCAGTTACAGAGATATAAAGAAAGCTGTTCATTTCCGAACAGGTGAGTTACTACTTGAAATTACGAATCTGCTAGAAAGTGCCAACATCCACAAAACTTCCAAGTGGTGTCAAAATGCTTGCACGTCCATTGGGAAGTTTCTCTTATTCTATAGCTGAACTTCATGAAACAGTTATCAGCTATTACATGAATCAAAGCTCTCCATGCTAAAAAATAAGGAAAGCTGAGTTAAATAAAAAATATGTATTTGTAATTGCAGGATTTTTGGAATCTTTGGTACTGAAGGGCACCATCTGACTCCACCCACTGACACCTGATGGACAGTGCCCTCGGGCTGCCCGAGACCTCAGTGACAGTTCTGAGCCCCGCTGTCTTATGCAGAACCCGGGAGACATAAGGAAGCGCACAGCAGGAAGGGGAAGGAGCGTTCTCTCAGGGAGGAACAGCTCTGTTGGGCACACCTTTCCCCAAATGCTCCCAGTCTCCATCTGAATAACTGCTTGCTCCTTCCTCTGCTTGGCGTGCCCTGATCTCTCCCCGTCCCACCTGCTCTGGGTCTTGCATCAAGGATCCTCCTCCTTGCAATAAGCTCATTTACTCAAACACATTCATTTCTCAGGCTGGGAAATAAAAAATCCAAGGGCCCTTGCAGCAGTTGAGGTGAGGGGATTTGTTGAGTTACAGTGGGGTCAAAAAAGAGGTTAGGGGTGAAGAGGATTCAGGCTGAGTAGGGAGAAGGTGCTGGCACTACCAAGAGGGCCAAGAGTAGCAGAGTACAAGAAAGGTGAGGAGCTCTGTTCCGGGCCCCCAGTCTTCTCTGGGCCTTGTCCTCCCTTATAACCATTGTCCTGCGGGTAGATGTGAGATTAAAGAAAAAATATTTCAGACACTGAATACCCTGGCACTCAAAAGGCCTGGTATTATGCATATGCACACGTATAAATATACATAACGCACAAGCAGTGTGTACATGTACATTGCACACAGCTCCAGTATTCTGCTGGAGGGTCTCTGATCATCCCCAGAGCACAGACCTCTCCATGCACATCAGGGAACCCCTTCCTCCTCCTTTTTCCTTCAAGCTGGCACTAACTTGGAGTGGAGTGAGGGGGAGGAGGGGAGGCAATAGAGAAGAGGGAGGGATAAGGGGCCCACTCCTTCCTGGTTTCATTTCTGCTTCTTGTTCCTGTTTCTGTCCCCACACCAAAAAGACCAATGAGTGGTGGGCATTGGGTCCCTCTTTTCTAGACCTTTGAGAGTGATCGAGAATCTTCCCTGGACATTTGGCATTGGCTCTCCAGACACTGGACAGGGGATGTTGGTCAAGCCCTATAGGAAGAAGGACTCATATCAGAGGAGGGCTGTGAGCCCCTAGACAAACCAAAGGGCAGGAGGTCCCTAAGGAGAATGAGTGTGGACATGGCTGGTCCTGTGCAGCAGGCCCAGGGTCCACTTCCTATCACTATCTTTTCCTAACCCCCTGTCTCTCTCTCTGTTTCCCCCTGCCTCTGTCTCCCCCTGCCTCTGTCTCTCTCTCACTCTCTTGGCTAGTCACGCCCCCTTTTGAATTTCTTACACGTGATTCTGACTTCTGGAGAGACAAATCACGCCCTCCAAGTGGACACTTTGAGACCTCATCCTCCCAGTAGGTGAAGGATATTTTCCTCCTGTAAACTCGGGCCACCATTGAGCCTCTGTAAAGCGCCTCTGTGGTCTTCAACCCACCCAGAATGTCCCATGTTAGTCCACGCCCTCCCGTGGGTGAGTGGTCGGTGCTCACGTGAGTGTGTGTGATTGCCTCCCTTACCAGTCCTCCATGGATGGTCAG